GCTTGGGGGCTTGGGGGCTTGGGGGCTTGGGGGCTTGGGGGCTTGGGGGCTTGGGGGCTTGGGGGCTTGGGGGCTTGGGGGCTTGGGGGCTTGGGGGCTTGGGGGCTTGGGCAATGCAAAAAGTATCGCCGCATCGTCAAAAGACCTGAAATGGCCTACAATTCGCAAGTCCTCAATCCGAGAGCCGCACATATCTCTGCTGCGGGGATTTGGCAACACCGGTACTGAGCATGAGAAAGGCTATGTGACTAAGAAGAGGGCGGGGGGTGTGGGGGAGGCTGTCGGACGGGGCGGGGGTGGGGGGGGGGGGGGTATTGGGGGAAGGGGGGGCAGTTGCTGAAATGTGCTTGGGCAACTGGGTGTTTTGAGGGTAAGGTCCCAGCCTGAGGCTTCATTCGCCATGGGCACGCGCCGGCGAGCGTTCGCGCCCCGTCGGTGTTGCCCTGACTGACACATCTCGAGACATGCGCATCGGCCCATACATGCCAAGTTCGGCTGGCATGCCTGGCTCTCTTGGTCCCAAGACTCCAGTCCAGTCTGTCTCCACGACCTTGACTGCCATCCTTGTTTTGAGCGCTTCCGCTTGCTCGTCGGTCAGGATGATCCCTTCCTTTTCCAAGTAGGACGCGACGTCCTTGTACGGCGAATCCTCCTCATCTTTCACACAGGCTTGTACCTTCCTCTGTGCTTCCGCAACCTCAAGCTCCGTGGTCTGAATGGCCTGGCTGACTTGCGCAAGCTGCTTCAAGGAGCGGAGGGGCCGACACCTCAGAGTCGCTCCTGGTCCGAACAGCCAAAAGAAGCAAGCAAGACAGTCTGAGGAGTCTCAATGGGGAGACTCTGTTTACACTTTTGGTGGTGGCCGAAAGCAGTGTCACGGGGACATTGTATGGCCACAGGCGCATGGGGAAGGCAGTCAAGCTGTGTCTAGTACCCATGTGCCTAGTACAAACAGCACAGTGGAAGACAGCCAAGAGGGCTGGAGTCCAGTCACGAAAGGTCCGGAGCCTGTCCGAACAGTAGAAAGCAGTTGGACGGTCACAGGGCCCAGATACTTCCATATGACATGGGAGGACATCGAAGAGGAAGGTGAGCATTCGGCCTCGCGAGAAGCTGAGGGAGGCAAAACGCAGAGAGGAGACCCGGCAGCGGAAAGAGGGGAGAACACGAAGGCCTCGCATGGCGCTGAGGAAATAAGGTTTTCGGCCTCGCAATGCGCTGAGGGTCACAGAGGCAAACAAAAGACCAAGAGGCGTAACGCGACACCACAAGAGCCACCAAAGGAACTGCCACAGGAGTGGCACATGCTATGCCAAGTGGTGGGTCAATATGATGCTCCCAGTGAGGCTACCGCACTCGAAGCCATTGAAAAACTGGAAGAGCAAGATCTAAACCCGCTGCAACAACGAGCATGCCACGAAGTGCTCCGTTCCTTTGTGGAGAAGGATGCACAATATGCCAAATGGATCCTGGAAGACGTGGCCAGGGGGTATCGCCAAGGGGATACGGCCGCATGTATCAGGATTACGGCGGCTAACATCACCAGCTGGAGAAAACCCATTGCGGCATGGATACACGAGCTAGGACCGGACCTGGTGGTGCTGCAGGAAACCCATCTCAGGACAGAGGGTATCCAGCAAGCCATGAGCCATTGCCAGGATATGGGATATACCTTCATTGGCATGCCTGGCAGTACAAAAATTAAGGGTGTGCAAGGAGGCCTGGCAGTGGCGGCACCCCGACACAGGAACCTGCGATACCTTGCTGAGTTTGGTTCAGGACCCGCGGGCTTCCTGGCATGTGCCATGCGAAACAAAGGCTGGGATTTGATCATCGTCAGCCTGTATTTGGAGAGCGGAGTCGGATTCCAGGCTCCAAACAATGTCCAGGTACTGGCGAGACTGATAGCCTTCCTCAAAGGCTGCAAAGTGCCATACATGGTGTTAGGAGATTGGAATGAAACCCAGGATACCATGAGGGGCACAACTATGGCGACAGAAGTTGGTGGTGCATTTGTTGGAGTGGGGGAACCAACGGCCCAAGGATCGGACGAAATCGATTACGGGCTGGTTGCGAAATGCTTGGTGCCCATCCTGCAAGTGAAAACGGATTGGGAAACCCCTTTTCGGCCTCATGCTGCGATGCATTGGAGGGTAGCCCAACCGTGCAGTAGCCCTGATGTTCCCCAGATGAAGAAGGCGGGAGCACTGGTGACGGAGACTGTGGAATACGAACCAGTTCAAAACACACAGACCATCAACATCTTGGATGAACCCAAGATGGAAGATGAGCTCAGTGAGACATTCGCTCACCTGAGTGCCGGTGTGGAGAGGTCGATCACAGGCCGAATCGACGGTATGGGTGTTAAATCGGAGATTGTCCGGAAGAAATTGGTGGTCAACAACCCGGAGAACGTTGTCTGGACAGGCAAGAGGGCGGCCTTTTGGAACCGGGTCCAACAATGGGTCAAACAAGGCAGACATCATGGCGATGCGCATCCGGTGGCGCGTCTGGTCCAACGCAGGCTCGGCGAGTATTACGAGGGTGATGCGCAGAACCAGGAGGATATGCTCGTGAGTATCCTGGGCCGGGGTACGGACGCTCGACTTGTTCTGAAGCGCATCGACGAACAGCAATGCTACGCGAGAAAGGCGGATATGGAGGAGACAGCCCACCAGTACAAGCAATGGCTCAGCAAGGCCATGGAAAAGGGCATGCGACCATTATGCAATGCCTTGCGAAAAGAAGAACAAGTGGTACAAAGACCCTACATGGAATATGACATGCTGGAACGGCCACACATTCGCCGAGACCACTGGGCGGCAGTGTGGACGAAGGGCCAGCCGTTGGCAAAATCGGCCTCGCTCATGACGGAGCTTGAGGATGCAGCCAAAAAACAAGCGGCCAGCGTGGAGCCGCTGAACCCTGTAGAGGTCAAGGCAAGGATCAAAAAACTGGCACTAAAGAGCCCGGGGCCGGATGGCTGGAGGATTGACCATTTGCAGGCCATGGACGACAAAGCAGTTGAAGCCGTTGTGTCCTTCTACCATGAATGTGAGGCCAAGGCAGCATGGCCGCAGCAAATGACAGTCTCCCTTATAGCAATGCTGCCGAAGAATCTGACCCGGGAAAGACCAATCGCCTTGCTACACATCCTGTACAGGACCTGGGTCCGTTTGCGATGGGATTTGGTAAGTACTTGGCAGGCAGGCTATGCCAAAACTGCCACGTACGACAAGGCAGTCCCAGGCAGTTGCTGCTTGGACGTGGCCGTAGGCAGACTGCTGCGAAATGAGGTGGCGAAGACAAATGGTGTGCATGTGGTGTCACTCTTTGTGGACCTTGAGTCCTTTTTCGATACCATCCAATTTCAGCAACTGATCACGGCAGCAACGGCCCTGCAATATCCACCGCTAATCCTGAAGATGGCACTGGAAGTGTACATGGGTGCCAGATATTTGGTGGCGGATGGGGTGCTGTCGGCAGGCATCAGAGCTACGAATGGCGTGCAAGCGGGTTGCCCAGCGGCGCCATCGTTGGCAAAGGTGGCATTGCACCCGGTGATTGATAAGATCCAAAGGCGAAGAGATGTGACAAATGTGGATTGTTGGTTGGATGATGTCTCAATTGACATCCAGCATAAATCCTTTAAACAAGCGGCGGATAGTGCGATACGAGTCTACCGCAGCTTAAAGGACGGGATGGACGCCAATGGTTTCACGATTTCATCCAAGAAGACAGGGTTTGTAGCCAGCAGTACCCAGGCGAGCAAGCACCTGCGAGGACTACTGTTACCGCATGAGCCGCAAGTGTACGACGTGATGCGTGACTTGGGCGTCGACAGTACAGGTGGGAGAAAGCGTCGCTTGGTGACGTCGGCCACGCGGGCGAAAAAAGCACACGCACGACAAAGCAAGCTGTCCAGGCTGGGGCCGCCGCCCAGCACTAAACTCCGCGTGGTTAAGGCTGCGATCACATCCGTGGCTCTGTGGGGGCACCCATCAGTGGGGGTATCACCCAAAAGAATGAAATGGCTCCGTACAGTGGTTGGAAAACACCTGGGCAAATACAAGCTTGGTAGTTTGGAAACCATTTTGGACATGGGAGCCAAGAAATGCCAGGATCCGAAGAGCACAATCCACAAGCAGCATTTCAAGGTGGTGGCTAAAGTTTTCCGTGCATGGATCGGTGGCGGAAAAGCCCACTTTGACTTGGCCTGGAAAACCACTTGGAAGAGGTTGTGTGCGGCCAAACACCGCTGGCCACTGGTCACGGGACCGATGGCAGCAACCATGGCGTACTTAATGGATCTGAAGGTGGATGCCAGTGACCCAGGCAAATGGAAGAGAGGAAGTGTCCTCAACGTTGATTGGACCCAGCCACGCATGGGTAGCCTCGCCTACAAATGGCTTGAGGGATTCCTGGAGGAACAGAAACGGGCTGCAATAGCGCGACAGGCAGGTGGCGCTGGTGCCCAAGAGGGGCTGGATTGGACGCCGCATCACAAGCTGACGAAGCTGGGAGGCCTAAGCCCAGGCCTTATGGAAGGTATAAAGTCAGTGTGGCACGCGGGCGTCATCACGGAGTCCAAGCCTGGATGGTGCAAGAAGTGCCAAATGCCAGCAACTCTGGAGCATGTCCTCAAAGAATGTCCTTACTGGCGTGAACAAGGGTTCAAAGAACCCAAGCTCCAGGAATACTTGCGCCACAAATACCCATGGGAGTGTCTGTGGACAAGGGCACTCCTGCCAAAGCCGGCGGTGTGGCACCCGAAGCCGCCGGAACACCTTTTAGGTCTGCGCTACCAAGGATGCTTCGCAGCAGATGCAAAAGTGGAAGCGGAAGGCTTGATCTTCGCCACTGACGCAAGTGGAGGTCCAGGAGGAATAGACCCACGTGTACAAACATCAGCCCTCGCAGTGGTGGCTATGTCCTGGACAAAAGGTGTGCTGGTGGAAGTCGGACGGATTACAGAGCTGGTCTACCCGTGGCAGCCGGTGGTGGACATGGAGCGCCGTGCACTTTTCCGACTAATGGAGCACACGGAGGATCTGATTGATGTCACTATGGATTGCAGGCAGTCCAAGCGCTACAAAAAACACAACCGCCGGAGGATGATCTGGAATGGAGCAAAGTGTGGAATGACAGGAAACGTATCAAGGCAACATGGGTCCCGTCCCACAAAACTGAAGAGGAATTCCTGGCGAAGATGGGGCCGGGCACGTTGTGGCGACGTGCAGCGAATGACATGGCGGACAAAGTATGTGGAGCAGTGGCGGCGGCTGCTTACAGCCCAGCGCACAAGAGGCGTGTCAAAGAGTTGGACAATGTGGTGCGCACACTTTCCCTGGCGTACGGTGCACGCGCAGCCCACATATTGCGGAAGCGCAAAGAAGAAGACTTCCCCTTCATCCTGGACCATGCGCATTACAAAGAGAAGATGGAAGCCTCGCAGAAAGCTGAGGGATGCAAAAAAGAGCATGGCGGAGCCAAACTCAACAAACGCCAGCGGCTTTGGCAGTTGCTTGACAACCCGGAGCGTGGGCATCAATGGGAGAAGGGCAGCGAACACCCCCGGAATTTAACCCTGAAATGCCGACTGTGTGGTTTGTATGTACAACAAACCCTCACGAACTTGGAGGTGGTATTGGAGCAGTACTGCGTCAACCAGCCGGAGGCGCGTGTGCGGGAAGAGTGGGGAATCCACCCCTCCCATAATATGGTGAATTTGGGGATCCGATGGGTTTGCGCAAAGTGTGACAGAACACATGCGCCGGTTAGCCAGAGGTGCAATAAAAGCCTGGCGGGTGAGTGCAAATCGCGGACTTCCCAGGGCAAGCTGGCTACCCAAGCGCAAACCCTTGTCAATGGTGGTAGTATGAGCCACGTCCAGTTTCAACAGCCTCGCGTTCAGTTTGGTGGAAAACACGCCAAAGCTAAGCCCCAAGCCAGTGCACAGCAAAAGATGTCACTGTTTGTTAGGCCTCGCCAGGCTGAGGGAACGCAGTAATTACGCAGCCGTTTGGAGCAAAGAGACAGGGTTTTCGGCCTCGTAGCTGAGGGTGTGGGCCTCGCACGGGGAATAGCGACTGGGTGTTTCCGGCCTCGCTTTGCTGAGGGATACTTTCGGCCTCGCGGTGCTGCGTGCATTCGGCATCGCTGAGGGAAACGACAGGTCTGGAACTATGAGGCATGGAAAACGGACGCGACGATGAGGAGACAAGGGTCCCGATTGCCATCCTGGCTCAGGAATCGGCCGGACAAAGGCAAAGGCAAAGGCAAGCACAAGCAGCAGGATGAGCCCATGCGAGACCGTTCCCCGCTTCGACAGGCCAGACACCCGGAACAGCCTTGGGATAGGGACGAGGCGAGTGCTTCGGAACCTCCTGCGGGTCCGGTACGCCTACGGGAGAGAGGAGAAGAAAGTGCGGCCTCGCACCAAGCTGAGGGTGTTGATGAAGAGGAAGACGAAAGCCAGCCTCGTACAGTCACGCTGGCAGAAGGACCAGGTGCCCACAACATGGCCTCGCGGGAAGCTGAGGGACAGGAGCCAGAGGAAGCAACGGGGCAAGAAAAGCCAGTGCACCTTGTGGTGCACAAACTGCAGAACCAGCAGCGGCCAAGGACAGCGCTCCATTGGATCGGGGAGGTCCAATTGGTACGCAACCCAACGACGGGGCAAAGCTTACAGCCAAGAGTGCTTCCCTTTATAGGAGCTGGGCGTACTCGAAGAGGATATGCTCTGGATCGGCTGTGGGTCATGAAACTTGCGACGGAACCCCGGAGCTTTGGCAACGAAGCAGGGTACGGGGAACAATTCCCCACCCTGGTGACCAGGACCCTGTGGGCAGGATGGATTAAAGTCCTTTTCGACGAGGCGGTGGAGGGCCACTACCGCCACTACTTTTATGGAAGTATCATCCGCAGAGCAGAACTGTTCAACCCATGGTGGCAGGAACATCGTCAAGAAGCCGGGGTCCTCAGACAGTCCCTGTTTTACCTGGTGGCTATAACGTCATGGCTGACCATGCAAGGGGTTGCTCTATCGGATATCACGGTGAGCAACGTTGGGCGCGACCCGATGTCAGGATCGCTACCACGGGCAGTGTTCTTTGACACGGCTGAGTGGTCGACGCTGCAGGAGGAGAAATACAAGCTATCATGCGGCCTCGTACGCATCCTGGAGAAATATGACGAGGAGCTACTGGCAACCATACGTGGATTGGTCAGAACGTACGACGGAAAGGCCAGCGCGCTTTGGATGGCGTGCGTGGGCAATGTCGGGCCTTTTGCCCAGCACCTACTGGATGCCGGGATTGCAAACGAGGATGGGATGGAACCCTACTTGCAGTACCGGCAGGAGAGATCCAGAAAATCACGTTGGGCATGCCGTATGACGAAGCGGATGAGTGAGCAGCGTAGCCCAGACAAGAAACACGGCTAGTGGTCTGAGAAGCACCAACCGACTCAAGAAATACCGCCTCGGCGTGCTGCCTGAGGAAGTTTCGGCCTCGACTCTGGTCTGAGGGGTGCAAATGAGGGAAGTTCGGCCTCGGCAAGACCTGAGGGAATTTCGGCCTCGACCACGGTCTGAGGGCATGGATTTCGGCCTCGACAAATGTCTGAGGGAAGTGAGGGCTAGTACCGGTAGTCTCACTGTGCAGAGTTTGTAGTTTGTATGTTTCACCCTCTAACCTCAGCCCCTTCGGGTGGCTACGCCTCGCAGCGTGCAGACGTAAAATTCACCTGGTGGCGGTCAATATGAAACAGGGTCTTTAGCGGAGTGGACTTTGAACCGTATCTGCCAGCTCCTTGAGCAATCCAAGGATGACACCCTGGGTGTGATTGAGGCTGTTGACGCTGTGCTGGCTGGCTTCTGTAAAAAGGGGTCAGATAGCAAGCTTCTGCTGATTGGTCAGGCCAATATCACCACCTATCGAAGTGAGATTCGAACTTGGTTGGTGGATCGGGATGAGTCCTTTTGGCTTTTGCAGGAGACACATGTCACTGAATCAGACACCAGAGCCCTGGTGAACAAATTCCAATCTGTTGGAAAGCAAGCTTGGGCGGGCCCTGCTGCACCGACCCAGGGAGGATCTTCAGGGGGCCTCCTCACCCTGGCTCCTTCCCATCGCAATGCGGCGACTGGCCCGGCTTTCCTCTTGGATGGCAAAGGGTTTGTGTCGGTTTCAATTAGGTTTAGGGGTTGGGACCTCCTCCTGGTCAACCTGTACCTCCAGTCTGGTGTGGGCCCGACTCCTTAGCCAAACCAGCACGCCCTGGCTGGTTCTTGGTGATTGGAACTGCCCTCCTGATGAACTCCTACGACTTGGATACCCTACCATGGTTAAGGGCCGGTTGGCGGTGCCGACAAGCCCCACAATCAATACAGGGGGAACTTTGGATTATGCGTTAGCGTCGGCCAGTCTAGCGCCGGCCATTACACTTACTCCTTGTTGGGACGTTCCGTTCAAACCCCACGCTGCGGTTACCGTTGAGCTGAGGCTTGAGGTTGTGGACCTGCCTCTCCGGCAACTGAAGGGATTCTCCCTTGAGCCAACCGCATCATGCCCTGATGAGTTGCATCTCCCTGAGGCTCAAGCACGTGGTTTGTGGGATACCTCCCAACCACTTGACCATGAGTGGGCTTCCTTCAGTGCTGGGGTTGAGGAGCAACTCTTTTCTGCTGCTGCGGGTCGTGGGTGGAAACTGGAAGACACGTTCCTTCCCCTTGTTAAAACCAGCAGCCCGGAAAAAATTTGGAAAGGCTCGAGGCCGGCCTTTTGGCAATCCTTCCTCCTCTGGACTTCGAAAGCACTTGGAAGTAACCCTGAAGTCAGAGTGATGTCGCTCTTCACTCAGGCGAGAACAAGGATGAACGATCACTGGATCGACATGCCACCACACACTCTCCAAGCCTTGGAATGCCTGCTTGATGCAGATGACCTTCAAAGTCACACGCAAGCTCTTGACATCATTGGGCTCCAAGGGCGAGCCGCTCTGAAGGAAGCCGTCAAGCAGAGTGAAGAGGCCTATAGTCAATGGCTGGAAGCGGCGTGTAAAGGGGGTATGAGAGGTCTGTATAGGGCTCTTAAGTCTGTGGACGTGATTCCGGACAGACCGTACAGACACATTCCCCTTGAAATTCGACCGCACATACGCAGGGCACATTGGGCTGAAGTATGGCGGCCTCTGCCAGGCAATGGAGACAACCTCTTAATTGATTGGCACGAGTTACAACACGCAGCAGTTGCCCAAGCCAGGACGCTCCAGCCGATTACTGGCTCTATGGTTGAGAAAGCCATTAAGAAAATGCCCCAGAAAGCCATTGGTGCTGACGGTTGGAGTGTACAGATGCTGCAGAAGTTGGCCCCAGTGCAATTGGAAAGGTTGGCTGCGTTCTTCAACACTTGGGAACGTCAGGGTGGTTTCCCGGCCCAACTTTCTCTTGTTCTTGTCGCTCTCATCAACAAGTCTGAGGATGAGGAGCGACCGATTGGACTGACTCCTGTGCCATATCGCTTATGGGCCAAACTCCGATGGCCGGTCTTCAAAGCATGGCTTGATAAGTATGCCGCCACCCAAGACTGGGACCGCGCTAAGAAGGGCTTATCAAGTCTTGATGTTGCGTTGCGCCGTAAAATGTCTCATGAGATCCTGTACCGGAAAAAGAGACACGGTGTAACGGTGCTTTTGGACCTTAAAGCATTTTATGAAAATGTCTCTCACCACACTTTTGTGGCCCAGGCCCTTGCCCTTGAGGTACCCCCGCTCATTTTAAATGCTGCAATCTCACTTTACAGTGCGCCGAGATGGATCAGTGCTGAAAAGTGTATCTCTGGGCCTCTCAAGCCGACGAAGGGCTTGGTAGCTGGTTGCCCCTTTGCCCCGGGACTCAGCAAGATCCCCTTCGACAGCATCTTACGCCCGGCATGGAATACGGGGCTTGCCAAAACCATTGACCTTTATGTCGATGACACTAGTTTTGACACTGAAGCTGCTAGCCCTGAGCTAGCTGCGCGCAGGGCAGCGCAGCTGTACAAAGCTGTGGTGGGGGGCTTAGAGCAAGCTGGACTTCCCATCAGCATTGGCAAGACGGCCTTTGTGTGTTCGTCAAAGAAGGTCGAGGCTGCCTTAAAAGGGTACCTTCCTGAGTCTGAACAAATCAAGGATGCTGCCAAGGATTTGGGCATTGATTGCACTGCTGGTCGAAGGAGACGTATCCCGGTGCACCGGAAAAGGTTTGGTAAGGGGGTTAAGCGTTGCGCTAGGCTTTCGACTCTTCGGGTTAAGTCGACACCTGTCAGGGTCCGTGCTTTAAGAGCGGGAGTGCAAACCGTGGGCATGTATGGCCATGAGTCTGTTGGACTTGCTCCCAAAAGGATGCACTGGCTGCGTGCCTCCTTCGCGCATGAATTGGGGCGCATGTCGCTGGGTTCGGTGGATCTGACGATCGACCATGCTGCACCTAAGAGACCGGACCCGGCTTACACGATTATCTCCCAGCACTTCAAAGCGATCCACCGGTTGCTGTGTTTTATCCCTGACAGGCAAAAACAGCATTTTGATGACATACTGCCTGACATGTGGATGGAGTACCAGCAAGCCGAATATCCCTGGAAGCGCGCTGCTGGTCCAGTAGGGGCACTGCTGTGTTACCTGGTTGACTTGGGTTGGACCCCGGTCAGTGCGTCAGCATGGAAATGCCCGGAAGGCACATGCCAGATCACCACTAAGGTCGGCATGCATCATCTACTGTGCTCCCTTGCCTTGGAAACGGATAGGTGGAGGCATACTCGCATTGCCCAGCAGGATTCCCTCTCGCCCCTCTTGACTGGAATCGATTGGCACCCGCTCAAAAAGCTTAGATGTAGGCTGCCGCCGCAGCACAAAACATCGCTCATGGCGGTGTGGCAGGGTGCAATCCGGGCAGATCCATGTGCGACCTGCCTCACATGCGGATGCGCTGCAACCTCCCAGAGCCTCCTGCTTTTGAAAGATTCAGAAAAGAGTGGCCGATTTCCTCCTTGTGGTCTAGGGGGATGACCCCGGCTACCTCCTACCCTGACGATGGCCAATGGGTGCGCACAACGGGAGCGTGGAATGAATCTCAGCTCATCAGTGGAGAAGGGGTTTATTTCGCCACCGATGGCTCCCCAGGCCGATCCAAAGATGTCCGATTTCATCGCTATACGTGGGCTGCAATTGCCTTTAGACTGGATGATGCTGAACCCGCTGTTATTGCAACGGCGGTTGGTACCTTGCAAACCCCGCTTTCGGTGTTCCGGGCGGAGGCGGCTGCTGTTAAATTTGTTGCCGAGCACACTCAAGGGGATGTTGACCTCACAATGGATTGTAAAGGGATTATCCCTAGGATCCAGGGGAAACCTTCCATCCAGTCGGCTGATCTTTTTGAGCCAATCAGGGAGCATTCCCACAGAATCCGCCCCACTTGGATTGCGTCGCACCTTTCGGTTCCCAAGTTCATTGCGCGGTTTGGTGCCAACCAACTCTGGCGTAGGCGGGCCAATGAGCTGGTCGACCGCCTGGTGGGTGAAGCGGCTGAACAAAGAAGAGATCCACTCTATGAGTCCAGCATCAAGAAGCTGGATGCTGTGATCACTCAGGTCAACACCTTGTTGGCCAAGCGCTCTGCAGCCCTTCTCTCTTATGACAAGGACCAGGGCCCTCAGGTGCAGTGGCCGGATAAGGACCAGCGGAAAGCTCGGGCGAAGCCTCGTGTTCGTGATTCTGCTGTCATCAAAACGAAAAAGTTTTCAAAGGAGAAGGGACCTAATAAGCGGCTGCAACTTGAAAACTTGATTGCGGGTAAACAACAGCTTGGGCATGCCTGGGTTAAGGGAGTCGGAAGCCGTCTAACCTGACTGCTAAATGTTCGAAGTGTGGACTGTATATCCAGCAGACAGACCCCATTCATGCCTTCTCCCTTAAGTCCTCGCACCCGTGCCTTGGAGTCCCAGCTGACCCCCCCCCATGGGGCCCTCACCCTGACCACGTGTGGGTTAATTTGGGGGTGTCGTGGGTTTGTTCCAAGTGTGACAGGATGGTCAAGGTAGGAGTCCGCAAAATTCCCTCTTGGATCGGCCAACCCTGTAAGCCTAAGGTGAGTAAAGTTGCAACGGCTAGTTCCAAAAAGGCGAAGGAGGTGACTGACACTGGTGTTAGGAGTGTGAAGTCTTTCTTCCAGCCTACGGCCAGTCAGGAACCACATGCCCGGAACGTGCTCCCGAAACCGAAACCCAAATCAAACTCGAAGCAGTCTGGGCTCAAGCAAGCTAAGATTGCCTTCTAAGTATGCCGCCGAAGCATAAGTCCCCCGCCTCTAAGGCGTACTCAAAAGCCCGGCCGGGCAAGCGTGAGAGAGCTCGGCTTAGAGGTGCAGCTCCTAAGATGCGAGCGCCGCCTGCTGGTGTGAACCCCCCGCCCCCTAGGCGGAGAAGGGTGGAACCACAGGACGAGCAAGCTCCTGAGCCCGGGCCACAACACGTGCAACCCCCTGAGCCCTTGGTGGATAACCAGGCTCAGGGGATGAGGAATCCTGCTTCGGGAAAATCCTCAGCTTGAGCAGCACAATCCTGTGCACCGCCCCCCAGCCTTGGTGGCAAACCAGGCTGAGAGGGATGAAGCCCCTGGAATTGTCCTTCGGGAGAATCCCCATGCACCTGGGGCTGGTCCGGTTTTGGGTTCCCCAGACCAGGACAGCTGCTCTGAAGAAAGCGAGGAGGAGCCAATGGTGCCTGATCCCATTGTGCATCCGGACCCTCCCCCAGCACCGCCTGCTGCGCCTATGCTGCCCGCCCCGTTGAACTTTGATGGTATGGATCAGGAAGCGGGCGCAGCCTTTGCTATTGCTGAGAGGGCTCGCAATACCAAGCCAGGATTGGTGGCTTTCAAATCCGATCTGGGCTATGCTGGTGTCTTCCAGGCCCTCCCCAAGGACCTGATCCACGTGTGGTTCAATGACACGGGGGACAGCACTGCGGCGTATATCCACAATGGAAGAACCAGGTATGGATATGATGTTGGCGGTGGCTACGTCTTGAAGGTTGGGACGAAGCAGGCGTTTGGGGATGAGGTGGCGATTTCGGCCTTGCTTCCTAAGGTGGCAGCCACCATCATTGGGGCTGGATCTACGACACTGCAGGTGCTGCTCTCTGGGCGACCATGGGAGTTCAGGTCCCATTTGGTGGCGTGGTCGATGGTGGAAAAAGTCGAGCTCCTCACGGATTTTGGTTCTAGGAACCAGATCCACCCTCAGTGGTCCTTGTATGCCTTCGCCCTCCTTTTGCAATTGAGCCGTCATTTTGCTCTTCGTGATGTGTCAAAAACCAACCTGGGCATTAAACCAGGACTCAGTGCTGCGACGCCCATGTGTGCTTTTTCGATCTCGCGGATTGGCACTTCGAAGGGCTCAATGCTGGAGGTTGGTTTCCCAAGTATAGCTTGCGCAGTTTCATCGAGACCCTTCGATGTGTCTGTGACGTCACGCCGTTGGAGCCGTATCTCCGCAGGCAGGCGGTGGTCCCTTGCCTCAACGATATCATTGCGGTTCTCCCCGCTGCGCTCAAGGCAAACTTGGAAATCCAAATGGTCCTCATGAACGGCCGACTTTCTGATTGGGCTCACCTTGCTGCATTGGCTAACCAATAGGCTTGGGCCCAAGCTTGTTGTGTCAGTCAGGTCTTGGGTTCTCCAGACCATATCCCCTGGGGCCAGCCTGGGTTGAGGTGTGGAACTGCATACGCGCCTCTATGCTGAGCCACTGGCATGTGTTACCCGGCCTAAGCTTGGTGCTCCAGGCTAGAAGGGGTGGTGTGACGGCCAGTGGTGTTACCAGGCCTAAGGCGTGGTGATCCAGCCTGCAGATGAGCCGGCAGTAGTTGCTTGTGTACCATAGGGTAGGTGTTCCACCGACTGTTTCACCTGAGCCATTGTGGCCACAGGGTAGGTGTCCCCCCGACTGTTTCACCTGAGCCAATGTGACTCCAAAGGCCTACGGCCGCCTCGTGCTTGTGGTGTAAAATTCACCTGGTTATGAAAATGTCTCTCACCACACTTTTGTGGCCCAGGCCCTTGCCCTTGAGGTACCCCCGCTCATTTTAAATGCTGCAATCTCACTTTACAGTGCGCCGAGATGGATCAGTGCTGAAAAGTGTATCTCTGGGCCTCTCAAGCCGACGAAGGGCTTGGTAGCTGGTTGCCCCTTTGCCCCGGGACTCAGCAAGATCCCCTTCGACAGCATCTTACGCCCGGCATGGAATACGGGGCTTGCCAAAACCATTGACCTTTATGTCGATGACACTAGTTTTGACACTGAAGCTGCTAGCCCTGAGCTAGCTGCGCGCAGGGCAGCGCAGCTGTACAAAGCTGTGGTGGGGGGCTTAGAGCAAGCTGGACTTCCCATCAGCATTGGCAAGACGGCCTTTGTGTGTTCGTCAAAGAAGGTCGAGGCTGCCTTAAAAGGGTACCTTCCTGAGTCTGAACAAATCAAGGATGCTGCCAAGGATTTGGGCATTGATTGCACTGCTGGTCGCAGGAGACGTATCCCGGTGCACCGGAAAAGGTTTGGTAAGGGGGTTAAGCGTTGCGCTAGGCTTTCGACTCTTCGGGTTAAGTCGACACCTGTCAGGGTCCGTGCTTTAAGAGCGGGAGTGCAAACCGTGGGCATGTATGGCCATGAGTCTGTTGGACTTGCTCCCAAAAGGATGCACTGGCTGCGTGCCTCCTTCGCGCATGAATTGGGGCGCATGTCGCTGGGTTCGGTGGATCTGACGATCGACCATGCTGCACCTAAGAGACCGGACCCGGCTTACACGATTATCTCCCAGCACTTCAAAGCGATCCACCGGTTGCTGTGTTTTATCCCTGACAGGCAAACACAGCATTTTGATGACATACTGCCTGACATGTGGATGGAGTACCAGCAAGCCGAATATCCCTGGAAGCGCGCTGCTGGTCCAGTAGGGGCACTGCTGTGTTACCTGGTTGACTTGGGTTGGACCCCGGTCAGTGCATCAGCATGGAAATGCCCGGAAGACACATGCCAGATCACCACTAAGGTCGGCATGCATCATCTACTGTGCTCCCTTGCCTTGGAAACGGATAGGTGGAGGCATACTCGCATTGCCCAGCAGGATTCCCTCTCGCCCCTCTTGACTGGAATCGATTGGCACCCGCTCAAAAAGCTTAGATGTAGGCTGCCGCCGCAGCACAAAACATCGCTCATGGCGGTGTGGCAGGGTGCAATCCGGGCAGATCCATGTGCGACCTGCCTCACATGCGGATGCGCTGCAACTTTGAATCATGTGCTATGGGAGTGTTCCTGGTGGCTAACCAACCTCCCAGAGCCTCCTGCTTTTGAAAGATTCAGAAAAGAGTGGCCGATTTCCTCCTTGTGGTCTAGGGGGATGACCCCGGCTACCTCCTACCCTGACGATGGCCAATGGGTGCGCACAACGGGAGCGTGGAATGAATCTCAGCTCATCAGTGGAGAAGGGGTTTATTTCGCCACCGATGGCTCCCCAGGCCGATCCAAAGATGTCCGATTTCATCGCTATACGTGGGCTGCAATTGCCTTTAGACTGGATGATGCTGAACCCGCTGTTATTGCAACGGCGGTTGGTACCTTGCAAACCCCGCTTTCGGTGTTCCGGGCGGAGGCGGCTGCTGTTAAATTTGTTGCCGAGCACACTCAAGGGGATGTTGACCTCACAATGGATTGTAAAGGGATTATCCCTAGGATCCAGGGGAAACCTTCCATCCAGTCGGCTGATCTTTTTGAGCCAATCAGGGAGCATTCCCACAGAATCCGCCCCACTTGGATTGCGTCGCACCTTTCGGTTCCCAAGTTCATTGCGCGGTTTGGTGCCAACCAACTCTGGCGTAGGCGGGCCAATGAGCTGGTCGACCGCCTGGTGGGTGAAGCGGCTGAACAAAGAAGAGATCCACTCTATGAGTCCAGCATCAAGAAGCTGGATGCTGTGATCACTCAGGTCAACACCTTGTTGGCCAAGCGCTCTGCAGCCCTTCTCTCTTATGACAAGGACCAGGGCCCTCAGGTGCAGTGGCCGGATAAGGACCAGCGGAAAGCTCGGGCGAAGCCTCGTGTTCGTGATTCTGCTGTCATCAAAACGAAAAAGTTTTCAAAGGAGAAGGGACCTAATAAGCGGCTGCAACTTGAAAACTTGATTGCGGGTAAACAACAGCTTGGGCATGCCTGGGTTGAAGGGAGTCGGAAGCCGTCTAACCTGACTGCTAAATGTTCGAAGTGTGGACTGTATATCCAGCAGACAGACCCCATTCATGCCTTCTCCCTTAAGTCCTCGCACCCGTGCCTTGGAGTCCCAGCTGACCCCCCCCCATGGGGCCCTCACCCTGACCACGTGTGGGTTAATTTGGGGGTGTCGTGGGTTTGTTCCAAGTGTGACAGGATGGTCAAGGTAGGAGTCCGCAAAATTCCCTCTTGGATCGGCCAACCCTGTAAGCCTAAGGTGAGTAAAGTTGCAACGGCTAGTTCCAAAAAGGCGAAGGAGGTGACTGACACTGGTGTTAGGAGTGTGAAGTCTTTCTTCCAGCCTACGGCCAGTCAGGAACCACATGCCCGGAACGTGCTCCCGAAACCGAAACCCAAATCAAACTCGAAGCAGTCTGGGCTCAAGCAAGCTAAGATTGCCTTCTAAGTATGCCGCCGAAGCATAAGTCCCCTGCCTCTAAGGCGTACTCAAAAGCCCGGCCGGGCAAGCGTGAGAGAGCTCGGCTTAGAGGTGCAGCTCCTAAGATGCGAGCGCCGCCTGCTGGTGTGAACCCCCCGCCCCCTAGGCGGAGAAGGGTGAGCAAGCTCCTGAGCCCGGGCCACAACACGTGCAACCCCCTGAGCCCTTGGTGGCTAACCAGGCTCAGGGGATGAGGAATCCTGGAGTCGTGCTTCGGGAAAATCCTCAGCTTGAGCAGCGCAATCCTGTGCACCGCCCCCCAGCCTTGGTGGCAAACCAGGCTGAGAGGGATGAAGCCCCTGGAATTGTCCTTCGGGAGAATCCCCATGCACCTGGGGCTGGTCCGGTTTTGGGTGCCCCAGACCAGGACAGCTGCTCTGAAGAAAGCGAGGAGGAGCCAATGGTGCCTGATCCCATTGTGCATCCGGAGCCTCCCCCAGCACCGCCAGCTACGCCTATGCTGCCCGCCCCGTTGAACTTTGATGGTATGGATCAGGAAGCGGGCGCAGCCTTTGCTATTGCTGAGAGGGCTCGCAATACCAAGCCAGGATTGGTGGCTTTCAAATCCGATCTGGGCTATGCTGGTGTCTTCCAGGCCCTCCCCAAGGACCTGATCCACGTGTGGTTCAATGACACGGGGGACAGCACTGCGGCGTATATCCACAATGGAAGAACCAGGTTCGGATATGATGTTGGCGGTGGCTACGTCTTGAAGGTTGGGACGAAGCAGGCGTTTGGGGATGAGGTGGCGATTTCGGCCTTGCTTCCTAAGGTGGCAGCCACCATCATTGGGGCTGGATCTACGACACTGCAGGTGCTGCTCTCTGGGCGACCATGGGAGTTCAGGTCCCATTTGGTGGCTTGGTCGATGGTGGAAAAAGTCGAGCTCCTCACGGATTTTGGTTCTAGGAACCAGATCCACCCTCAGTGGTCCTTGTATGCCTTCGCCCTCCTTTTGCACTTGAGCCGTCATTTTGCTCTTCGTGATGTGTCAAAAACCAACCTGGGCATTAAACCAGGACTCAGTGCTGCGACGCCCATGTTGTGTTTTTTCGATCTCGCGGATTGGCACTTCGAAGGGCTCAATGCTGGAAGTTGGTTTCCCAAGTATAGCTTGCGCAGTTTCATCGAGACCCTTCGATGTGTCTGTGACGTCACGCCGTTGGAGCCGTATCTCCGCAGGCAGTGTTAAGTGTACAGCATGTATCCAGGTACAGTGAATGGGTGCAGTAGGAAAGACACCAAATGCCCTAAGGCATGTTGAGTCTGAGCAGAACGAGTTTGACACCGGAGGCTTAGGCTCAAGAGTCGAAAGCGAGAAAAGTTGTTTTGCCTTTAGAGCGTGGTAGGAAAAGTGAGCCATGATGTTTACCACGTTTTTCAACATGGTAGCGGAGCACCTGAGTCAGGGTGCGATGATGCTACAGCAAGCTGGATGGACGAAGATTTTTCCATGGAGCATGATGGTTTTCATGTCTGTGCGAGAAGTGTGTGCCAACAGCCTCCAGAACCTTCAGCATATGGCAGAGCAGACAGTTGCAGCAAGCAGTGGTGCCCTGGACGCTTTGAGTTCAGGAAGATGGCAGCAGGAATTGTTCCTGTTTGCAGTGCTGGTTTTCATGAGCAGCATTTTAGCAGGAATGGCGTGGTCGTTCTTGCGAGAGATTGATTGCAACTGAAGAGCGAGAGATCGAGACTGTCGCCCATGAAGAGTTCATGCCTGATGTTTACATTGCAAAGTCAAGAACAGCAGTGCACAAGCATCGAGAATGCCGTGGCCTGGACAGTGCGGATCAGGCGCAAGTCGTACGTGCACCTGGATGTAGAGTTTGCTTTCCAGATGGCTATGTTTACATTCAAGGGCAGACAGAAGTAAAGAGAAGGAGGTTTACCCAGATGACTGGATGTGGTTTCTGGATGAGAGTCCTTTGCAGTGCAGTTCTTCTACTTTGTGCAGGGCTCGTTACAGCAGAAGGTTGGTTGTTGATGATCAAGAATGTGAAAGCAAAGGCAGCAAGAAGCAGTACAGAGATATTGCTAGATGAAGCAGAGCTCGTTATGTCAAAGCCGCTGCCAGGAATTCGATTTCCCTCCAGGATGACCTGAAGACTATTGCCTTGGAGGATGAGCATGCCGAGGTGCAGCATGCGACTCATGCACTTGGTGAAAGCAGCAAGAATGTGCATGTGAGAAGAGAGAGAGAAGAGACAGAACATGTGGAGCTCATGTCCTTCAGTTTGCAGCGTCGTCAAACCAAAGAAGCCCCAATACGCTATGAAGATCAAGACAACGAAGAAAACTACAACCTCGAGATTGTGAAGTACATGATCGCAGGATTTGAAGCATCAAGAAACTTCGACATCACGAATTTGAAGATTGAGGTGAAAAGATGGTATGAAGGTACAAGAAGATTCCTTCGAAGCCTTGAGTCGAGCTACGCCCCTGAGATCTCAGTCATGTTTCACAAGCAGAAAGAAATCATTTTCGTGTTGATGATCGTGATGTGCACCCCGATTGGTTTGGTTACTTGGATCAGCCTGTACAACATGTGTGCCATCCAAAGCAAAAGAAAAGAGTGTTTGAAGAGAAGAGTTTCGAGGAGAGCCAGGTATCAGGAAGTTCGTGCATGTGGTGTTCAGAAGAAGACGCTCATGTTCATTGTGTTGCTGTATACAAACACGCAAGCAGCTGAAGCCATGAATGCTCAGATGGAGCAAGCAATGCAATCTTTGGCCCAGCAGACAGCAACGAACACCCAACAGATAAACGACCTGGTTAGCGCAGTTCAGCAGCAAGCATCCCAGCAGCAGCAAGCAAGCACAGCAGCTCAAAACGCAGCAGCAGCCAGTGAAGGCGAGATGAGAGAAATGTTTCGCAACATGCTACAAGTGGCTACAAGAACGAGCACAGCGGTCCACGAGGCAGCAAGCATGATCAACAATATGGGTCAAATGCATCGAGATTTTCGTGAGCATCAAGAAGCACGAGAACAAGCACAAGCAGAAAGAGAAAAGAGAAGAGAGAAGGGAGATGTCGAGTTGCACAAGATGATCAAGACCCCCGACGTGTTCAACCCAAGCAGTTTCAAAGAAGAACATGAAGGCTGGAGTGAATTCAGACACAAGATGCGAACCTGGATTGGAGCGTTGGACCCAGAGATGTTAGCAAGAATTGAAGCCGTTGAAGCAAAGAGAAGTGAAGCTGTTGAGTTTTCCACCTTGAGTGACGAGCACAAAGCCGTTAGCAAGAAGCTCTACACGATCCTCACTTCGTACACGAAAGGTCGCCCATTGAGAACGATCAAGCAGATTACAGAGGAGAATGGTTTAGAAGCATGGAGAATTTTGCTCGAAGAACATGAACCCTACACTCGTGGTAGAAGTCTTCGATTGCTGACTAGCCTCACGAAGTACAAGTTTGAAAACAAGAAGACCACCATGGAGAACATCCTTGCATTCGAAGAAGCAATCGAGCAGTATGAAAAGGCATCAGGAGATGTGGTGCAAGATGATTTGAAGATTTCAATTATCCTCAATCAGCAAGATGGTCAACTTCGACAACACATGTTGCTCAATTTGAGAGATGATACAAAGTATTCAAGTCTTCGTCAGTTTCTCCTGTCCTATGAGCAAAACACGCGCTGGACCACAACTGACTTGATCAACGCCGGCAACGACCACGGTGGACAAGCAGACATGGATGTCAGCAACGTGAACAAAGATGATAGAAAAAGGCCCTGGAGATCCAAAGGAAAAGGAAAAGGAAAGTTCAGCAAAGGCAAAGGAAAGGGCAAAGGAAAATGGAGGAAAGGAAAGTCCAAAGGAAAAGGCAAGTATGGCAACGACTACGGCTACAACTCCAAAGGACGAGGAAGAGGAAAAGGTCGTGGTCGAGGTCGCGGTCGTTTTGGTCGTGGAAAAGGATTTGGTCGTGGATTTGGAAAAGGACGCGGAAAAGGAAGCTTTGGTCCTCAGTGTTGTCATTACTGTGGAAAGCCTGGTCACTTTGAAGCCCAATGCAGACAGAAGCAGAGAGATTTTGGTGATGTTCGAAACGTGAACGACGACCAGCAAAGTACCACAGCAGCCAGTTCTACTGCAGCACCAAGCACGTCAAGCACCACGAACGTGACGAGCGTCAGCAGGAACCAAGCAAAGACCGTGCGTCAAATCTCCATGATCCACATTGGAGATCCTCCACAACAGTATCCAGAAGTTTTCGAAGTCGACACGGAGGCAGAAGAGGAACTTGAGATTGACTATTTTGGTCGTGTGCTACGTGTTGAAGAATTTCAGCTTAGCGATGCAGAGCAAGAAGAAGAAGAACACGAGCACCAAGAAGAAGATGATCCTTTGATGTTGTGGTGGAAAGATGGTTGTGAGCACGAAGAAGATTGCAACCTTTGTGTCCGTGCAGTCCAAGAATCATTTTATGAGAGCAGTCCTGTCTATGAGAAGATAGAAGTGATCTTGGACAGTGGCGCTGATGTCAGCCTCATTCCTCTGTGGCTTGGCAAAGAGGGAGTGCCTGTGAAGAAGAAGAACGATTCAGGCATCAGAGACGCACAAGGAAGAAAGATTCCTGTAAAAGGAAAGAGAGCAATCAACTTGACTATGTTCAGCTCGAAGCAAGAAGCAGTCAAGATGCAAGAATGCTTCATCGTTGCGAATGTGGTCAATCCTTTGTTGGCAGTCGGAAAGCTACTCAAGAATGGCTGGGAGATTGTCAAGAAGGATGATGGCTTGATGTTGTCAGACGGAATGTCAGACATCCCTGTTCACTACCACAAGAACTCGCTGGCTACTTATGCTTATATACTTGCAAGCAGGAAAGAGGTATGAGAGCGAAGCCTATGTGAACCTGGAGCAGGAACACGTTCGCACCGTCATTCAGCTGAACTCCCACATAGCTGATGCAGCAAGAAAGCAAGAACCTGGCTGGCATGATACAGACAGCATTGTGGTTGTGCACTACTCCCCGGCGCAGTCGAAGTACAAAGATCCCACGGACATGTACCGTACGGAGGATTTTCCGTACAGAAGCACGATGATCAAGACAGAAGATGGTACATGGAAAGCCGTTGAAGTGTGCAAGAAGTATGCGCAGAAGATGGACCCGTTTGAGGATATCAGCGCAGGCGGGGAATTTGAAGTGGTGACAGCATTGTCGTCACGAGTTATCCCGCTGAATGTCTTGGGTATCCCCTTGAAGAAAGATGAACGCCAAGAACAAGAAGCAAGAACCAGCGACACTTGGAGCATCGAGAAGGCTGGTACGGAACTTGTGCGGTACCACAACACGCCGCGCACCCACAAGTTCAACCCTGAGAACGTAGCTGGAATGCCCACGGACATTGAGAATTTGACGTCCTGGAGATACACTATTGGCGAGTGTGTCTATGCCACGAATTTGTATGAAGACGAAGATGATTGGAGCAGAGACACAGAACCTCCTGAAGAAGCATTCGCTTTGCCGTGGTATGGTCAGACCAGATTTCGTCTCAAAGAACCTGTTCGTGAAGATAGAAGAAGCAGTGCACAAGAGCAAGAGGCAAAGAGACAGAAGCTTGAAGAAGAAAAGAAAAGTTTCCTCCCAGAAGATGTGCAGATGGAAGAAGCACCACGAGGTGAAGTTGAACGAGATTCTCTTGTGTTCACCTACGATGGCTATGAGTACAGCAAGAATAGCAGCGTGCAGATTTTACGTCAACTTTGTCGTGAATTTGAAGTACCAAGCAGTGGCAGCAAAGAGCAGATGCTGAAGCGCTTGTCTCGCGCAGCTCAGGAGCGCGAAGCGGCAGACAGCCTAGCCCTCGGGCGCAGGCAGTATGAAGCGCAAGTCGCGCCGCTGATGAGGAAGCGCGAAGAACGCCCCAATGAGCAGGAAGTGATGCTACACAACCTGACGCACCTGCCATTTGCTGGCTGGTGTGAGCATTGCGTCGCCACTCGGGCGAAAGAAAATCAGCATCGGAAGAGCGAATTGACTCGCTCCCCCGCTGAAGAGAGCAGCAAGTCAACACTCTGTTTCGACTTTGCGTACACCTCAACGAGCAGCTCTGAGGCGCAGCCCATGGTCACGCTAATCGCGAATGATGCATGGTCCAAGTGGTTTGTCGCCGTGCCCGTAGCAAGAAGAGGAGGCGCAGATGCGCTGAGGCACATGACCGAAGCGTTGACTACAGCTACACTGCAGCTTGGGTACTCAGAAATCAATGTGAAGGCAGACAATGAAGGTGTTTGCAGAAGCTTAAAGATTGCACTCCAGAAGATGCGTGGAGCGCATGGCCTGAGCACTACACTTCTTTCAAGTGTACCCCATGATCACGAAAGCAATGGTTTGGCCGAGCGTGCAGTCCAAACAGTCAGAAGGCATGCGAATTGTATCCTGGATGAGGTCAGAGTGAAGACAGAACTTCCTCTTAGCCATGAACACCCACTGATGTCGTGGGCAATGCGACACTCTGCGTGGCTACTCAACCGTTTTCATCGGTCCTCAGCAACAGGAAAGACGCCGTATGAATTCATGACAGGCCAACCGTATCGAGGAGAACTCGTACCATTTGCAAGCACGATTATGGTGAAACGCTTGAGACCGAAGCGCAAAGGTGACCGTTTGTGGACGTTCGGAGTGTTCCTCGGCAAGACTGAATCTGGAATGTGGCTTACTTTCCAGAGCGATGGCATTCACGCATCAAGAAGTGCGAGACCAGTTGGTGAAGCTTACGACGCGAAGGCCATCAGCAGCGTGAACGTTTTCACTTGGTCGATCAAGAACAACACACTTGGCAGCCGAGTACTACCTCAGAAAAGATTGGTTTCTCCGCAGATTGTTCTTCCAGCAGTTGCAGCAGGTGAAGAACGAAAGAGCCTTGAAGATGAAGTTGCAGACGAAGCCGCCTCTGATCCTCCAACAAGTGATGAGGAGAAAGCAAGGAGAGATGCAGAAGGAATGCTTGAAGAGTTCGAGCTTGTTCATGATGAGCATGATCCTCTGGCAGATATGGTTTCCGATCACGAAGATGAAGGAGGAGAAGTTCCTGAAGAAGCAAAGATGGATCGAGAAAGCAGACCAGACTTTGAATGTGTTGGTTCACCAAGCAAGATCCCAAGAACAAGAGTTGAGCTTCCCAGGTTTGGACCTGGAGCATCGTCTTCGGTGATGAGAGCAGAAAGAATGCCCGACAATGATGAGAGGTCGGACGAAGAAGAAGATTGCTTTGCAGGCAGTGAAGCTAGTGACTTTGAGACAGAGGATGAATGGAGCGATGAAGAGCAACAAGAAGAAGTTCAAGTCCTTCCAGAAAGTTTCTTCTCAGAGGAAGCAGGACCTCCTCAACTCGCAGAAGAAGACCTCGAGATCTTTGACGATGCCGCAGCAGGAAAAGAAGTTTCCAGATTGACAAAGATGGGTGTCATAGAAGAGGTGCCCATGGAGCAAGAAGAGAACAAAGAAGTTGTTTGGTTGACAACAAAGCTGGTTTTCGACTGGAGATTTCGGGAGTCAGAAAACGTCATCTGCGAGAACGAGATCCCTGAAGGGCAACAAGAAGTTCCTCATGAAGCCCTGAAGCCACGAAGATGTTGGCAGAGAAGAGCAAGGCTGGTAGCAAGAGAGTATAACAACTCGAAGCGAGAAGATGTGTTCAGCCCAGCTACCTCTCCGTCGTTGACGAAGCTGATTCCAATTTTGGCATTGGCAAATCGATGGAGTATTTGGTCGCTTGACATCAAAGATGCATTTTTGCAGGTTCCCCAGAAGAGACCTGTACACTGCAAGATTCCACGAGGAAAAGGAAGTCAAGCAGTACACGGAATGGAAGCCAAATGCTGGCGTCTTGGTCGTGTCCTTCCTGGACAAAGAGATGCTAGTCTTCTGTGGAGCGAATTTTGTGCAGAACTTTTGCAACAAGAAGGCTATGAGAAAAGCATTGCGAACCCAGCGTTGTTTCGCTGGATCAAGAACGGCAAGGTCGTATCCGTTTGCATCGTACATGTCGATGACCTTCAAGTAGCAGGAAAAGCAGCAGTGGTGAAGCCCGTCCTCGAAGCTTTAGCGAAGAAGGTGAAGCTACAAGTAGAAGGACCTTTTCTGACAGAAGAAGATTATCGCAATGGATTTTCCAAGCAGTCTGTGCGTTTTCTCAAGAGAAGGTATAGCTATGAAGACGGAAAGTTGTTTGTCCGCCCTGACACCAAGTATGTCACCAAGCTCCTTGAAAAGCTACGCCTTGGATCGAGAAGAGAGAAAGCTACCCCTGCAGCAGGAAATGTGCAGAACACCGATGAGACAAAAGAGCTGGACGAGAACAAGAAGAATGTGTACCGAAGTTGTGTCGGTATACTGCTATATCTTGCCCAAGATCGTCCTGACATCCAGTATGCAGTCCGAAATTTGGCAACTGGAATGAAGGCTCCTACGCAGAAGAAGCAGAAAGAGCTCGAGCATTGCGCGTTGTATCTGAAGAAGACTGCAGGCTATGCGGTTTGCTACACAGCAGGGAGACCTGGAACGGCAACCTTGCAAAGAAGCAAGAATTTGGAGCAAGATTCCGAGAATGAGAACGAGAAGAGCATCGAGAGTGGCAGTCACCTGGTCGAAGTATTTTCTGACGCCGACTGGGCCGGCAACAAGAGCAGCCGGAAATCTGTATCAGGAGGAGTCATCTTCCTGGACGGCCAGTATGCGTTTTCTTACTCAAGAACGCAGAAAACTGTGGCACTTTCCAGTGGCGAGTCCGAGTACTACGCACTCACTGGTGCTGTCGCAGAAGGAATTGGCATTCGAGAAGCCGTAGAGTTCCTTTCTGGCAAAGCAGCGCGAATGAAGGCGTACACAGACAGCAGTGCAGCGCGTGGCATTGTGCACCGGCAAGGTGTTGGTCGTATCAAGCACTTAGCAACGAGAATGCTCTGGTTGCAAGAGGTTACCAGAAACGGCCTATGCAGCGTGAAGGCAGTGAGCACTGTTTTCAACCCTGCCGACTTAGGGACCAAGCCCCTCAACGCATCGAGAATGAAGCTACTTTTGAACATCCTTCAAGTTCATGATGATCGAGAAGCAATCGGTCGTGAAGAACGAATGGCCGCAGAGAGCACAGCTACAGTCAGAAGATTGACAAAGGTATCCGGAAGCAGACTTGGTTTGACGTTATTGTCAGCTTTTGGTTTTGCAGTTGAATCTGCAGGTCAGCAAGAAGGAGATTTTGTAGCACGAAGATATTTTTGCATGCAGCTGATGAGTTTTGTGTTTGGTCCGTTTTCTACAGCTCAAGAGCCACCTCAAGAACTTCAAGAAGTTGAACAAGAAGTTTTACATGGTCAAAGCAGCAACAGCAGCATGAAGTTTTCACACGTTTTCACGAGCATGCCTGAGCTTGAGATGTTGATGCCCGTGTGCATGGCTGTGATTGTTGTTCTGGTGACGATCATTGTCTACTTGGCAGTGAACCAGAAGAAAGAGAAGAAGGGTGAGAAAGAAGAGAAGCCCAAAGAAGAGAAGCCTGAAGGTGAAGTCACAAAGAAGAAAGAAGAAGAAGACAAAGAGAAGAGCTCGCAAGGTGTCCTCGAAGACGACGAGACCGTGAAGATGAAGTTCGACGAGCTGATCGCGAAGATGGAGAAGCAAGAGCGTGCCTTGGAGAAAGAAAAGTTGAAGAGGGAAGAAGCAGAAGAGAAGGCGAAGGAAGCAGAAGAAGATCGTGACCAAGCATTTGTTATGAAGGCGAAGGTGGTTGCGAAGTTCAGTGAAGCTGAAGCAGAGAAGAAAGCTTTGGAGAAAGAGAAGGAAGAGTTAGAGAAGCAGAAAGAAGCGTACAAGCAAGATGCCAAAGAGGTGAGAGAGCAGTTGAAGAAGGACTACGACATGATCACGAAGCACATGAAGAAAGAAGCAGACGAGAGAAAGAGAGAAGCAGAAGAGCTAGAAGCAGCAGAACAAAGAAGAGAGGAGGAAGACAGGATCAATGCAGAGATCAGAAAAGCCAACGAGGAAAAGATTGAAGCAGCAGAACGACAAAGGAGGAAAGAGGAGACAGACAAGAAAGCCGAAGCAATGAGACAAAAGGAGCAGGCAAAGAAGGCCCAGGAGGAGAAAGATGCCCAGGAGAAGGCAGCACAGGAAAGGAAAGCACAGGAGGAGAAGGAAGCACAGGAAAGGAAAGCACAGGAGGAGAAGGAAGCACAGGAAAGGAAAGCACAAGAGGAGAAGAAGAAGGCAAAGGAGAAGAAGGCACAAGAGGAGAAGGAAGCACAAGAAAGGAAGGCCCAAGAAGAGAAGGAAGCACAGGAAAGGAAAGCACAGGAGGAGAAGGAAGCACAGGAGAAGGAAGATGAAAGGAACGAGGCAATCGCGAAGGAGAAGGCGAAGAAGCAAAGAGCAAAGCTAGAGGCCTATGAGGAGATGAGAAGAAAGGAGCAGGAAGCCCAAGAAGCGACGAAGGAAGAGAAGGAGAAGGCAAAGAAGGAGTTGAAGGAAGCACAGGAACGAAAGACCCAGGCGGAAATTCAGGCAGAGAAGGAACGAGAAGGAATGAAGGAGATTGAAGTCGTTGAAGTTGAAGATTCAGGATCTGAAGATGAAAAGCCCACACTAGGAGCAGAAGGAAAGAAGGATGCAGAAGGCAATGTGTGGCAGATCCACAAAGGAGCATTGTGGGTCAGGATCAAAGGCCAGTGGTATGATCCAAACTGGTGGACAAAGAAAGGATACAAACCACCGCCTGACTGTGCAGAGTCGAGCGAAGAAGGAAAAGAAGAAGGAGGAGCAGCAGGAACAGAAGAAAGAAGAGAGCAAGAAGAAGAGCAGCCCCGAGAACCACCGCAGAGAGGAGAGAAAGGTAGCAAGAACGCAAAGGGCAGATGGAATGTGGTCACGTTCACAGATTGTGGTTGGATCTGGGAGTATTGCAAAGACACGAATGAGTATCGAGCAGTTCGGCTCGATCAGAAAGGATCAGCGCAGGTGAAAGGAGCGCAGATCAAAGGTGCCGAAGACTGGAACCTCGTGACCAAGCACTTCAAGAAGACAGGAAGGTGGGAGAGCCCCACAGAAATCAGAAGAGAGAGAGATGAGCCTGAGGTGCAGCAAGAAGGAAAGCGAGGAAGAAGAAGTCGAGAGCAAGAAGACTGGCAGCAAGAAAGTTGGCACCAGCAGCAGGACTGGTACGCCGACGACGGTTGGAGCCAGAACTACTGGGAGCCGGACTACGCCTACTACCACTACGCCCCGAAAGGGAAGTACCAAGGCAAAGGGAAATGGAAGTATGGTGGTGGTGGCAAGAAAGGCTGGTAAGAAGAAGAAGCCAGCAAGAAGCATCGAGAAGGGTGACGACTGAACGCAGCGTGAAGCATGTATAGATTTTCTGAAGCTGTGTACATAGAAGTTCGAGCACCCCGAACATTGCACGAAGTACAAAGTAGGTACAACGAATGTTTTTGAATAAGCAAGGACCCCAATACGCCTTGTGATATTCACACGAGTTTCACCAAGAAGAAAGTAGTTTCACGAAGAGTTTCACGAAGCAGGACTAGGAGTGTAAGGTGCAGCCAGGTAGAGGCAAGAACAGTTGAAGAAAGAAGATGGTTAGGTAAAAGAGAAGACCACACAAGAGCCATAGGCTGGCCACAGGGCTGAGACTCACAAGATGAGGACTCTAAGACAAGCCCGTGTAACTAGAAATTCGAGGTTAGGAGTTTATGCATGTTTCAAGAAACAAAGCAGAAAGAACTGGGTAAAAGACCTTGGACCAGAGGAGACGAATGTCCCCAGTTCAGTACACTTGAAGTCCGAAACAGCTCTTCGTCTTTTGGCACAGCAGTGAGAATCACTGCAGGAAAGAGAACGCCCTAAAGCCTTCGATCTGTTCCGAGGCGGGGTGTTAAGTGTACAGCATGTATCCAGGTACAGTGAATGGGTGCAGTAGGAAAGACACCAAATGCCCTAAGGCATGTTGAGTCTGAGCAGAACGAGTTTGACACCGGAGGCTTAGGCTCAAGAGTCGAAAGCGAGAAAAGTTGTTTTGCCTTTAGAGCGTGGTAGGAAAAGTGAGCCATGATGTTTACCACGTTTTTCAACAGGCAGGCGGTGGTCCCTTGCCTCAACGATATCATTGCGGTTCTCCCCGCTGCGCTCAAGGCAAACTTGGAAATCCAAATGGTCCTCATGAACGGCCGACTTTCTGATTGGGCTCACCTTGCTGCATTGGCTAACCAATAGGCTTGGGCCCAAGCTTGTTGTGTCAGTCAGGTCTTGGGTTCTCCAGACCATATCCCCTGGGGCCAGCCTGGGTTGACGTGTGGAACTGCATACGCGCCTCTATGCTGAGCCACTGGCATGTGTTACCCGGCCTAAGCTTGGTGCTCCAGGCTAGAAGGGGTTGTGTGACGGCCAGTGGTGTTACCAGGCCTAAGGCGTGGTGATCCAGCCTGCAGATGAGCCGGCAGTAGTTGCTTGTGTACCATAGGGTAGGTGTTCCACCGACTGTTTCACCTGAGCCATTGTGGCCACAGGGTAGGTGTCCCCCCGACTGTTTCACCTGAGCCAATGTGACTCCAAAGGCCTACGGCCGCCTCGTGCTTGTGGTGTAAAATTCACCTGGAAGTTGGCCCCAGTGCAATTGGAAAGGTTGGCTGCGTTCTTCAACACTTGGGAACGTCAGGGTGGTTTCCCGGCCCAACTTTCTCTTGTTCTTGTCGCTTTCATCAACAAGTCTGAGGATGAGGAGCGACCGATTGGACTGACTCCTGTGCCATATCGCTTATGGGCCAAACTCCGATGGCCGGTCTTCAAAGCATGGCTTGATAAGTATGCCGCCACCCAAGACTGGGACCGCGCTAAGAAGGGCTTATCAAGTCTTGATGTTGCGTTGCGCCGTAAAATGTCTCATGAGATCCTGTACCGGAAAAAGAGACACGGTGTAACGGTGCTTTTGGACCTTAAAGCATTTTATGAAAATGTCTCTCACCACAGTTTTGTGGCCCAGGCCCTTGCCCTTGAGGTACCCCCGCTCATTTTAAATGCTGCAATCTCACTTTACAGTGCGCCGAGATGGATCAGTGCTGAAAAGTGTATCTCTGGGCCTCTCAAGCCGACGAAGGGCTTGGTAGCTGGTTGCCCCTTTGCCCCGGGACTCAGCAAGATCCCCTTCGACAGCATCTTACGCCCGGCATGGAATACGGGGCTTGCCAAAACCATTGACCTTTATGTCGATGACACTAGTTTTGACACTGAAGCTGCTAGCCCTGAGCTAGCTGCGCGCAGGGCAGCGCAGCTGTACAAAGCTGTGGTGGGGGGCTTAGAGCAAGCTGGACTTCCCATCAGCATTGGCAAGACGGCCTTTGTGTGTTCGTCAAAGAAGGTCGAGGCTGCCTTAAAAGGGTACCTTCCTGAGTCTGAACAAATCAAGGATGCTGCCAAGGATTTGGGCATTGATTGCACTGCTGGTCGAAGGAGACGTATCCCGGTGCACCGGAAAAGGTTTGGTAAGGGGGTTAAGCGTTGCGCTAGGCTTTCGACTCTTCGGGTTAAGTCGACACCTGTCAGGGTCCGTGCTTTAAGAGCGGGAGTGCAAACCGTGGGCATGTATGGCCATGAGTCTGTTGGACTTGCTCCCAAAAGGATGCACTGGCTGCGTGCCTCCTTCGCGCATGAATTGGGGCGCATGTCGCTGGGTTCGGTGGATCTGACGATCGACCATGCTGCACCTAAGAGACCGGACCCGGCTTACACGATTATCTCCCAGCACTTCAAAGCGATCCACCGGTTGCTGTGTTTTATCCCTGACAGGCAAAAACAGCATTTTGATGACATACTGCCTGACATGTGGATGGAGTACCAGCAAGCCGAATATCCCTGGAAGCGCGCTGCTGGTCCAGTAGGGGCACTGCTGTGTTACCTGGTTGACTTGGGTTGGACCCCGGTCAGTGCATCAGCATGGAAATGCCCGGAAGACACATGCCAGATCACCACGAAGGTCGGCATGCATCATCTACTGTGCTCCCTTGCCTTGGAAACGGATAGGTGGAGGCATACTCGCATTGCCCAGCAGGATTCCCTCTCGCCCCTCTTGACTGGAATCGATTGGCACCCGCTCAAAAAGCTTAGATGTAGGCTGCCGCCGCAGCACAAAACATCGCTCATGGCGGTGTGGCAGGGTGCAATCCGGGCAGATCCATGTGCGACCTGCCTCACATGCGGATGCGCTGCAACTTTGAATCATGTGCTATGGGAGTGTTCCTGGTGGCTAACCAACCTCCCAGAGCCTCCTGCTTTTGAAAGATTCAGAAAAGAGTGGCCGATTTCCTCCTTGTGGTCTAGGGGGATGACCCCGGCTACCTCCTACCCTGACGATGGCCAATGGGTGCGCACAACGGGAGCGTGGAATGAATCTCAGCTCATCAGTGGAGAAGGGGTTTATTTCGCCACCGATGGCTCCCCAGGCCGATCCAAAGATGTCCGATTTCATCGCTATACGTGGGCTGCAATTGCCTTTAGACTGGATGATGCTGAACCCGCTGTTATTGCAACGGCGGTTGGTACCTTGCAAACCCCGCTTTCGGTGTTCCGGGCGGAGGCGGCTGCTGTTAAATTTGTTGCCGAGCACACTCAAGGGGATGTTGACCTCACAATGGATTGTAAAGGGATTATCCCTAGGATCCAGGGGAAACCTTCCATCCAGTCGGCTGATCTTTTTGAGCCAATCAGGGAGCATTCCCACAGAATCCGCCCCACTTGGATTGCGTCGCACCTTTCGGTTCCCAAGTTCATTGCGCGGTTTGGTGCCAACCAACTCTGGCGTAGGCGGGCCAATGAGCTGGTCGACCGCCTGGTGGGTGAAGCGGCTGAACAAAGAAGAGATCCACTCTATGAGTCCAGCATCAAGAAGCTGGATGCTGTGATCACTCAGGTCAACACCTTGTTGGCCAAGCGCTCTGCAGCCCTTCTCTCTTATGACAAGGACCAGGGCCTTCAGGTGCAGTGGCCGGATAAGGACCAGCGGAAAGCTCGGGCGAAGCCTCGTGTTCGTGATTCTGCTGTCATCAAAACGAAAAAGTTTTCAAAGGAGAAGGGACCTAATAAGCGGCTGCAACTTGAAAACTTGATTGCGGGTAAACAACAGCTTGGGCATGCCTGGGTTGAAGGGAGTCGGAAGCCGTCTAACCTGACTGCTAAATGTTCGAAGTGTGGACTGTATATCCAGCAGACAGACCCCATTCATGCCTTCTCCCTTAAGTCCTCGCACCCGTGCCTTGGAGTCCCAGCTGACCCCCCCCCATGGGGCCCTCACCCTGACCACGTGTGGGTTAATTTGGGGGTGTCGTGGGTTTGTTCCAAGTGTGACAGGATGGTCAAGGTAGGAGTCCGCAAAATTCCCTCTTGGATCGGCCAACCCTGTAAGCCTAAGGTGAGTAAAGTTGCAACGGCTAGTTCCAAAAAGGCGAAGGAGGTGACTGACACTGGTGTTAGGAGTGTGAAGTCTTTCTTCCAGCCTACGGCCAGTCAGGAACCACATGCCCGGAACGTGCTCCCGAAACCGAAACCCAAATCAAACTCGAAGCAGTCTGGGCTCAAGCAAGCTAAGATTGCCTTCTAAGTATGCCGCCGAAGCATAAGTCCCCTGCCTCTAAGGCGTACTCAAAAGCCCGGCCGGGCAAGCGTGAGAGAGCTCGGCTTAGAGGTGCAGCTCCTAAGATGCGAGCGCCGCCTGCTGGTGTGAACCCCCCGCCCCCTAGGCGGAGAAGGGTGGAACCACAGGACGAGCAAGCTCCTGAGCCCGGGCCACAACGTCCCAACAAGGAGTAAGTGTAATGGCCGGCGCTAGATTGGCCGACGCTAACGCATAATCCAAAGTTCCCCCCGTATTGATTGTGGGGCTTGTCGGCACCGCCAACCGGCCCTTAACCATGGTAGGGTATCCAAGTCGTAGGAGTTCATCAGGAGGGCAGTTCCAATCACCAAGAACCAGCCAGGGCGTGCTGGTTTGGCTAAGGAGCGCAGCCAACCTCCTAAGGATCTCCGGGTTAACCCCTCCGGTCGGGCCCACACCGGACTGGAGGTAAAGGTTGACCAGGAGGAGGTCCCAACCCCTAAACCTAATTGAAACCGACACAAACCCTTTGCCATCCAAGAGGAAAGCCGGGCCAGTCGCCGCATTGCGATGGGAAGGAGCCAGGGTGAGGAGGCCCCCTGAAGATCCTCCCTGGGTCGGTGCAGCAGGGCCCGCCCAAGCTTGCTTTCCAACAGATTGGAATTTGTTCACCAGGGCTCTGGTGTCTGATTCAGTGACATGTGTCTCCTGCAAAAGCCAAAAGGACTCATCCCGATCCACCAACCAAGTTCGAATCTCACTTCGATAGGTGGTGATATTGGCCTGACCAATCAGCAGACGCTGGCTATCTGACCCCTTTTTACAGAAGCCAGCCAGCACAGCGTCAACAGCCTCAATCACACCCAGGGTGTCATCCTTGGATTGCTCAAGGAGCTGGCAGATACGGTTCAAAGTCCACTCCGCTAAAGACCCTGTTTCATATTGACCGCCAAAGTCCTCAATCCACTGGAGCGGATCAGCCTCTTTGGCAGGCATATCCATCACAGGTGCAGCCTCAAGGATGTGGAGGAGGGCCTTCCACTCCTGAACCTGTTTTTTGTGGGCTTGACTGGGCCTTGGCTTCGATATGGTGCTCTTCCGGGGCCTGGGACTAGGGGAGGCCTCAAGTGTGTCCAAGGATGAAACAACATGATCTGCATCATCAAACACGGCCCTGGAGAAGTACTTGGGCCCAGAGGTCTTCAAGGGGGAGGCCTTGCAAGAGGACGAGGGTTTGAAAGTTCGGCTGGGTAACACCCAAGCCGGTTCATCGCATGGAGGCGGTTGTTGTGTGGGAAAAGGTGGGAGTGGCATCTCATCCCAGGTGAATTTTACACCACAAGCACGAGGCGGCCGTAGGCCTTTGGAGTCACATTGGCTCAGGTGAAACAGTCGGGGGGACACCTACCCTGTGGCCACAATGGCTCAGGTGAAACAGTCGGTGGAACACCTACCCTATGGTACACAAGCAACTACTGCCGGCTCATCTGCAGGCTGGATCACCACGCCTTAGGCCTGGTAACACCACTGGCCGTCACACCACCCCTTCTAGCCTGGAGCACCAAGCTTAGGCCGGGTAACACATGCCAGTGGCTCAGCATAGAGGCGCGTATGCAGTTCCACACGTCAACCCAGGCTGGCCCCAGGGGATATGGTCTGGAGAACCCAAGACCTGACTGACACAACAAGCTTGGGCCCAAGCCTATTGGTTAGCCAATGCAGCAAGGTGAGCCCAATCAGAAAGTCGGCCGTTCATGAGGACCATTTGGATTTCCAAGTTTGCCTTGAGCGCAGCGGGGAGAACCGCAATGATATCGTTGAGGCAAGGGACCACCGCCTGCCTGCGGAGATACGGCTCCAACGGCGTGACGTCACAGACACATCGAAGGGTCTCGATGAAACTGCGCAAGCTATACTTGGGAAACCAACTTCCAGCATTGAGCCCTTCGAAGTGCCAATCCGCGAGATCGAAAAAACACAACATGGGCGTCGCAGCACTGAGTCCTGGTTTAATGCCCAGGTTGGTTTTTGACACATCACGAAGAGCAAAATGACGGCTCAAGTGCAAAAGGAGGGCGAAGGCATACAAGGACCACTGAGGGTGGATCTGGTTCCTAGAACCAAAATCCGTGAGGAGCTCGACTTTTTCCACCATCGACCAAGCCACCAAATGGGACCTGAACTCCCATGGTCGCCCAGAGAGCAGCACCTGCAGTGTCGTAGATCCAGCCCCAATGATGGTGGCTGCCACCTTAGGAAGCAAGGCCGAAATCGCCACCTCATCCCCAAACGCCTGCTTCGTCCCAACCTTCAAGACGTAGCCACCGCCAACATCATATCCGAACCTGGTTCTTCCATTGTGGATATACGCCGCAGTGCTGTCCCCCGTGTCATTGAACCACACGTGGATCAGGTCCTTGGGGAGGGCCTGGAAGACACCAGCATAGCCCAGATCGGATTTGAAAGCCACCAATCCTGGCTTGGTATTGCGAGCCCTCTCAGCAATAGCAAAGGCTGCGCCCGCTTCCTGATCCATACCATCAAAGTTCAACGGGGCGCGCAGCATAGGCGTAGCTGGCGGTGCTGGGGGAGGCTCCGGATGCACAATGGGATCAGGCACCATTGGCTCCTCCTCGCTTTCTCCAAAACCGGACCAGCCCCAGGTGCATGGGGATTCTCCCGAAGGACAATTCCAGGGGCTTCATCCCTCTCAGCCTGGTTTGCCACCAAGGCTGGGGGGCGGTGCACAGGATTGTGCTGCTCAAGCTGAGGATTTTCCCGAAGCACGACTCCAGGATTCCTCATCCCCTGAGCCTGGTTATCCACCAAGGGCTCAGGGGGTTGCACGTGTTCCGTTCAAACCCCACGCTGCGGTTACCGTTGAGCTGAGGCTTGAGGTTGTGGACCTGCCTCTCCGGCAACTGAAGGGATTCTCCCTTGAGCCAACCGCATCATGCCCTGATGAGTTGCATCTCCCTGAGGCTCAAGCACGTGGTTTGTGGGATACCTCCCAACCACTTGACCATGAGTGGGCTTCCTTCAGTGCTGGGGTTGAGGAGCAACTCTTTTCTGCTGCTGCGGGTCGTGGGTGGAAACTGGAAGACACGTTCCTTCCCCTTGTTAAAACCAGCAGCCCGGAAAAAATTTGGAAAGGCTCGAGGCCGGCCTTTTGGCAGTCCTTCCTCCTCTGGACTTCGAAAGCACTTGGAAGTAACCCTGAAGTCAGAGTGATGTCGCTCTTCACTCAGGCGAGGATGAACGATCACTGGATCGACATGCCACCACACACTCTCCAAGCCTTGGAATGCCTGCTTGATGCAGATGACCTTCAAAGTCACACGCAAGCTCTTGACATCATTGGGCTCCAAGGGCGAGCCGCTCTGAAGGAAGCCGTCAAGCAGAGTGAAGAGGCCTATAGTCAATGGCTGGAAGCGGCGTGTAAAGGGGGTATGAGAGGTCTGTATAGGGCTCTTAAGTCTGAGGATTTGATTCCGGACAGACCGTACAGACACATCCCCCTTGAAATTCGACCGCACATACGCAGGGCACATTGGGCTGAAGTATGGCGGCCTCTGCCAGGCAATGGAGATAACCTCTTAATTGATTGGCACGAGTTACAACACGCAGCAGTTGCCCAAGCCAGGACGCTCCAGCCGATTACTGGCTCTATGGTTGAGAAAGCCATTAAGAAAATGCCCCAGAAAGCCATTGGTGCTGACGGTTGGAGTGTACAGATGCTGCAGAAGTTGGCCCCAGTGCAATTGGAAAGGTTGGCTGCGTTCTTCAACACTTGGGAACGTCAGGGTTGTTTCCCGGCCCAACTTTCTCTTGTTCTTGTCGCTCTCATCAACAAGTCTGAGGATGAGGAGCGACCGATTGGACTGACTCCTGTGCCATATCGCTTATGGGCCAAACTCCGATGGCCGGTCTTCAAAGCATGGCTTGATAAGTATGCCGCCACCCAAGACTGGGACCGCGCTAAGAAGGGCTTATCAAGTCTTGATGTTGCGTTGCGCCGCAAAATGTCTCATGAGATCC